GTATTAGTATTAGTATTAGTGTTAATATTAATATTAGTATTAGTATTAGTATTAGTATTAGTATTAGTATTAGTATTAGTATTAGTATTAGTATTAGTATTAGTATTAGTGTTAGTATTAGTATTAGTATTGGTATTAATATTAGTATTGATATTAGTATTAGTATTAGTATTAGTATTAGTATTGATATTAGTATTAGTGTTCGTATTGGTATTGGGGTATTAGTTTAAACATTAAATATTCGCATGAGAATTGGTGTATTATTACTAATAATAGTGTTGATATTAATATTATTATTAATCATCGTATTAATATTATTGAACACATGAAGATTTTTCTCAAATTCGAACTTGGAATGATATGGACGTTTTTAGTGTGTGATTATATGAAAAAGTTAAGGAAAAAGAAGAAGGGTGGGGAAGGAGAAGATGAGATTTTAGAGAGAGAAAAAATTTCAATTGTTTGTATGATTTGGTAAAATTGATGTGGAATTTAGCATATCAGAAAAAATAAACATCGAATTTATAAACTTTTTCCTATTTTAAATACAAAATTATGGAAAAATAATAATTTTAGGACGGACGAAATGGAAAATAAAAATAAAAAAATAAATTAAAAGCAATCAGATATTAATTAACAGTTTCCCTATCGTATCCCTTCTTCACTAAGAAACACCTTATTTTCTCTCTCCTTTCTGGAGGAACCGATTTTTTGTTTTTTATTCTTTCAAATTGAAATTTGGGAATTTAGGTTTTTGGTCCTGTTTGATTAAGGGAAAAAAATCAACCTAGAAGAATGGGGCAGCAGCAATCTAGAGATGAATTGTTGTATCGGCAGGTCAATTATGGAAATGTCGATGGCATCAAAGCCCTCCATAGTCAAGGAGCTAGCCTCGAGGTATCTATCCCTTTCAAATTTCTTCCGGTATTTATCAGTGTTATGCATATGCCGATGGCGGATTTACACGTATAGTGCGTGTTAGTGTGTGTTTGTTCGTTCCTGCAATTTACTTTTGGGTTTTATCTTCTAAGGACTTGCTGATTTTTAGTCAATGCCCATATTATTTTGATTGGATTATATGAAAATTAAACAAACAAAGTATCTGATCTGAATCTGATGTTGTAGTTAAAAGTTGGGTGTGGGTTTAGTTATGCCTTTGAAGCGCTTCCGAATGACACGGTTGCTTCTACACGATCAACTTGCAATGTGATATCGAATGTTCTTAAAGCTGCCTTTATAAAACTATTTTTAATGGCTCGGGTAATTATTTTATACGTTCTGAAATGGTTTTTGCTCGACAGTGGATCGACAGTGAAGGCAAGACTGCATTGATCTTAGCTTGCATGAATCCAGAGCTTCATCATGTAGCGAAAACTTTGATTGAATTGGGTGCCAACGTCAATGCTTATCGTCCAGGTTAGTGCATTTTCGATGTACCTGTCGTTATCTGGTTTGTCATATTTCATGATTCAGTTCCTCTTAATCTTTCCTAGATTTGTAATGCACGAAACTGAAAGGAAGTACCGATTAATTCACGTGGTCTAGTAGAAAAACAAAACAGGAATCATGCATTGACTGTTGTTATAATGAATTGACTCTGCTCGTTTACTATAATCGTCTGAACTCTGAATATTGCTTTCACGTTTCTCATTTGCATTTTTCTAGTTACAGTGTTTTGACGATTGTCTTGCGGTATTATTTATCTTCATAAATTGCATTTTCCTTTGAAGGTAGACATGCAGGGACTCCGTTACATCATGCTGCGAAACGAGGGCTTGAGCAGACTGTAAAGTTGCTTCTTTCCCATGGAGGTATGTGTAAATATATTGCACATGCGCTTTTTCCGTATTATCTTCTGATCTTAAGTCTTTGTGGGAAAAATTCAGCAAATGCGTTAGTGATGAACGATGATTGCCAAACTCCGCTCGATGTTGCCAGAGCCAAAGGGTATGGAAATGTAGTCCGAACAATCGAGGTATTACTTTACTTGAAAATCGAAATTTTGGTTCCGTTTTAATGCCGTTCATGCAGTAATTAAGACAGTTTGACTATTTTTCGGCATGCTGTTAGGCCCATGTGTGCTTATTCTCTGGTTGGCTGCGAGAACTTTATGGACCTGGTTTTCTTGAACTTCTTGCACCTCAATTGCTTTCGAGAAAAGTGTGAGTAGTACTTATTTTTTTATTTTATTTCTTTCTTCCATATTCTTATTGATATTCTCCTTGCGCTGTTCATTACATATGGCAAGAATCTTGAATGTGTTTCTCTAATATCTGTGTAGATGGGTTGTTATCTTGCCTTGTGGGTCCCGCAATCTTCGGAAGCCTCTCAAGTTGGAGCTTGCTATATATTCTGGTTCACAGGTACCTTCGTATCTATATTTTATTTTATCACGTATTTCAAAATCTGGGTTTTGACCGTATATTATCAGGATCCGCAACCACGCATGATCGTGCCACTGTGGAAGGCCAATCTGGACGAACCTAATTTTAACCAGCCTGATCCTGCAGCAATAATATCCGATGTTTCTAAAAGTATGTTCTCAACTTCATTGTATAGATTCGTCCAAATTCGATGAATTTGTTATTATGGATTCAAAATCCTCCCTTGGAATCCCTCAATCCAAGTGAAGTTTAGTTATTCGTGTATCAAAAAAAAAAAAAGTTATTCGTGTATCGGTATTCTATGTAATGTCTTGAAAATACTTAAGAAATGTTGCTAATATGCATCTTTGTTTTCAGGTACACGACTTAAACTCGCACCTGCGAGTGAAAGCGAAAAACTCGAATTACAGAGGTTCTGCAATGCCTGTAAAGGAATTCCTCAGGTACAGCAGCATACTTTGCTTTTCGGTGTGTGTGTGTACTGTGTGTGTTTGGTAGATAACAAACTTTGATTAGTCACTGTTTTATCTCGTTTTCTGCTAATAAAAAAATATTTACAACTGAATGTCTCGAAAAAAAATCAGGCGGTTCACCCGTTGTTTCCTTTCAACAATCAAGCCCCTACAGCTCCAAATTCAGAAGACGAAGAGCAACTAACAATGGCTATTAACGCATCCCTTGAATCTGCCGCACACGTTGGACCATCGCATACAGATACATACATAGTATCCGAAGTAGACAATGCATCCACAAGTACAGCCAACCAAGAAGAGAGCATGCACGGGGCTAGTATAGGCAAATGTGAAATTCAGACGACTCTCGAGACTCAATCGTCTTCTGTTTCTCTTCCATCTGCTCCTCCTCTGGCAGATGTAGCTGTGGAAGATGGTCCGATTTTCTATCCATCGATTGATGTGGGCCCCGTTGACTTATCTTCAATTAATACAGGTGATGAAAAGAAAAAGGATAATGATGATGCTACGAGTTCCTGCACGATATGTTTGGATGCTCCGCTCGAGGGTGCGTGTGTACCGTGTGGACACCTGGCTGGGTGCATGACTTGTCTGAACGAAATTAAGGCCAAGAAATGGGGTTGCCCTCTTTGCCGCGCCAAAATCGATCAGGTTATACGTATATATTCGGTTTAGCTTCTGGTGATATTATTTTTTCTGCAGAATGTACAAACGAGCTATTGCCAGAGAGTACTTTCTTCTGCCGATCATGTAAGTATTTATTTTCATCGTTCCCTTGTATGATATGATGAACTGCGAAGCGTTATATTTGTATTTAAGTAAACAGAATTCGATTTTTAAATTTTATAAAGTGCTTGTGTGCCGTGTAGCCGAAAATATGTATTGTAAATTCTCACTGTTTTAATGTGTAATATGTTATATGGTGCTGTAAAAAAGGTTTGCTATAGTATAAAGAACAAAATTTCTGGTTTATTGAATATGGTGTTGTAACTTTGTTACACGTCTTTCTGGTTTTTTACATCCTGTCTACAATTCTTACATTGTTCTTGAATTTACTGTTCCTAATTTAAGTTTAATCACATCCATAAAAATATTAAGGAATAATTGAAAGAGAAAAAAAAAATTCAAGTCTTTGAATTGTCCTTGTGGGGTTAATTTGTCAGCTAAGTGCAGAGAGGGGTAAAACAACAGTAATTTGTATTATTTTTTGTATATGACTTTATATATGTTGATTGTTTAGGACAGAGCATAAATTTATATGTAATGAATAAACATTGGAGTGGTTGAAGTATTAGATTCATTAACTGGGGTCTGAAGTTAATTTGTTGTGCTTGATTTTTTTTTTTGAGAGAGAGCACTAATTCAATGGAATTTCTTTTTTAATACTTCCATTGGATTTTTAATGTTTTTTTTTATTAATTATTATTTTTTGTTTGGTATTTGCGTTTGGAGCCCTATTATTAAATAGTTTGCTTGATGGTCAATTTGATTGGCTTAATCTTACTTTGCACCCTTGAAATGCAGCATTTTAGCATTTTGCACCCTTGAAATAAATTAATAGCATTTTGAACCACTAAAACACAATAAATCATTCACAGCGCACATAGAATTGAATATTTAAAACTCAATGCGGGAAATTTCATATTTTATTGGTTTTTCTTATTGTATTTCAAGGGTATAAAGTACTATTAATTTTTTTTAGGGTGCAAAGTGTCAAACGACTATATTTAAGGGTGCAAAGTGGGATTAAGCTAATTTTTGTTAATTAGAGCATTAATAATGACTTTTAACATGCATAATTTGCTTTGGTAAAAGTTGATAACTTTTGCTTTGGTATGCATCTAATTCGATATGTTTGTACTAACTTAGTGGATATGTTTCCCAAAGGAATTACATTATATTTGAGTATGAATTGTGGTCCATTTGTTTTGTTTTGAGTTCTTAAAATAATTTAGAAATTAAACAAGATAAACAAAAGTATTACTCTATGACAAACCCTAGGCCAACATCCACATTATAAAATTAATTAATAAGTGAAACGTGTTGTCTTTTCACTGGCATAGAATAAATTTCAAAAAAAAAAAAAAAAACTTACTAATTAGATCAACTTACGACCACAACGTTAATTCCCTTCGTTCGTAAATAATTACATAAACTCGATAAATGTGGCTTATGATCAAACTAAAAAAGATGTGCTATCAAGCTAAAAAAAATAGGCACATTTTTTGGAACTTGAATTCAAAGAGATCATGAATAAACCTAGCTAATGTGTTTGAATAATACAGTTACATTTGAAATTCATTTTTATTCCCTCCGTTTTAAAATAATTGTCTATTTTCATCTTTACACAAGTACTGAGAAATGAAAAAAAATGTGCATTGATTTTAGTAAAATCATATATAAAGGACTAAAATAACCTTTGTTTACAAGAGAGAATTAACACTTAACATTGAATTTATAAGGTTAAAATAGTAAAATATGCACTTAATACAGTATTAGAAATATAAAATAACAAATAATATGGAGCAATTTTTTTTTATTTTTTTTAAAGTGACAATAATTATTGTGAAATTAAATGTCGTTGTCAATGGAAATTTACATTTCTTCTCTGAATTCATTGAACCACATTCTTTCGTTTGCTTATATACATCAAGTCCTTTTCATGCTTCTAGTTTTACCCACTACTATTCAAAGTCAAAGCAGGAATTGGATATTGGTTATCAGATATAAATGAATACCTTCTTATAAATTATTCCTCTCGTATTATGAAAAATACATCTCATCAATATATTTAAAATTATTTGTTTTTTCTCAAAAAAATAATTCTACCCGAAAAAAAAATCCCTTTAGCTATTTCTTTTACCAAGTTATTTGAATATCATATTTTCTTACAATGATTTCTATCAATTAAGATCCACCAATCGAACAATTTAGTGAGAAATATTTTCTTCTGTTTTTTTGGTGAGAAAATATAATTCTTAAGTAACTCAGTGTGTCATTTTTTATGTTCGGAATTTGTTTGGAGAGTAGAAGGAAATAATAATTTCACCCACATTAAGTCTTAGAAATTCAATTCATGGTGCATTATGAATGATTTGTCGTGTTTCGAGGATGTAAAATATTATTAATTTTATTCAAGGGTGCAAAGTATCACAATGATATATTTAAGGGTGCAAAGTGAAATGAAGTCCTAATTCAACAACGTGATGGAAATATTTTCCCATCTGCTCATCAATGATTTTTTTTCATATATACATATATACATACAAAAAATAATATAATATGTAGGTCACAAGTCACAAGTAACTGTTGTTTTCCCCCTCTGATGTTTTTAAAGTACCTCATCCGATCCATTTAATTTACTTGGAGCACATGATAATCTAGCCATGCATGTGATAATATTATTCATGTACTTTATCAATTAAATAACTAATAATATTATTAATTCATTTCATCCAACTAGATTCTACTTAATTAATTAACCTAGTTCATGAACACATTAATTAGGGTTTATTACATATAATTTTGTGTGAATTGTGTATGTACGAGCTCAAAGGCAGTGTTTGGAAGCATTTTGTGGCTTATTTTCATTTCGTTTTTTTTGGAACTCAAACTAATTCTTTAGTATATAACGAACTTCATTAGAATAAAAGGAAAATAGTCCAACGATATATGAAGTTTGTCTATCTATGATTTGAGTTCGATTAGAAAAAAGAATATATGTATAAAAATTGAGTTATTCGACTGGATTTATACTCGCACGATCAAGCTCGACTCCATGACTGAGTAATAAATCAAATTCAAATGCATTGCAACATTTAAATTACCTCTATAAAATTCAAACAAGAGTTTATAAGCTCTTTAAAAAAATAATTCTAAAGAGAGTTAACACAGTAACAAGATGTAAAAGCTTATCAGTTATTTATAATAAATTTAGTCAAATGGAGTGTTTAGTTCATTTGCACCCTCATTGTACAAATTTTAATTTTTGAAAAACAAAAATAATTCAAGGAGACATCTTTATTATACCTAGTATAGTTTCTATTAATTATTTCCTCTAATTTTCACTCAAATATATAGTAGAAGACAAGTGAGGATATTTTGGTCATTAATTAGAAAATGTGTTGTCAATCAATTGAAAACTGTCTTTGATATATTGGTGAAGAAACAAAAGAATCCTGTTAATTTTACAGGTCAGATTCTCTGCTACCATATAAATATTATTTTTTTTTCATCATAATTTACATTAATAAAATATTAAGATTATAAAAAAATATATATATTATTTTTTCAAATAAAATTGCTAGTCCATACTCCATATATTACCAATAAAGAATGACCCAAGGGTTGCCCTACTCTTCCACATAAACCCTACCCAGGGGTCCCTCCTAACTCACCACTAACCTTCCTCTCTCTCTCTCTCTCTCTCTCTCTCTAGATCTCTCTCTCTCTCTCTCTCTACATATAGATACACAAAGACATACATACTAGAGAATGCTGCTACAGTTACTGATCTGCCTTTTCTAGGAAAGAAAAAATCAGCCAATGTGTTCAAATGTTTGCAGAAAACATTATATATAAGTTTTCTAGGATTGATCAAACATATATATAGATTTATTAATAATACAAATTAAACAAAAGCAACAAAGAAAGCTTTCAATTCTCTCTCTCTCTCTCTCTCTCTCTCTCATCGATCTCTACTATATATATATAATATATATATATATATCATGGCAAAGATCAGAACCCTATTAGCTGATTCAGTATGATCAATCATTGATTCACATACTTCACTTTCTTTTATCTTCAACCCTACAAACCCTAGATCATCTCTCTCTCTCTCTCTCTAGCTTTCTCTCTCTACAACCGACAAAGAACAGATTATATAATCTCAATATATATATATAGATCGGAAAATTGAGCTGAGAGGCAATTGACATGGACCCAATAACTCAAGAAATGTTTTCCTCAAGCGGCGGTCATCACGAGATCAACCCAGCTGGTTTCACACTCACCACCGGCGGCGGCGGCGGCGGCACCACGAGCGGCAGCTCGTCGATGATGGGCTCGCCGTCCGGCTCCTCCTCCTCCGCTTCAGCGTCCGGCGTCTCCTCCCCGCCGACGACGCTCAGCCGGTACGAGAACCAAAAGCGGCGCGACTGGAACACGTTCGGGCAGTACCTCCGAAACCACCGGCCGCCGCTGTCGCTGTCCCGCTGCAGCGGCGCCCACGTGCTCGAGTTCCTCCGCTACCTCGATCAGTTCGGCAAAACAAAAGTCCACAACCAGCTCTGCCCATTCTTCGGCCACCCAAACCCACCGGCCCCCTGCCCCTGCCCCCACCGACAGGCCTGGGGAATGCTCCACGCCCT